ACGACCATTCTACCATTCTTTCCAAACATGCTGAAAAATGTCTTTTTTGTTAGTGTTCATAGGATTGTGACTTGAGGATTCATTAAAGAACCTAATTTATTAGAAAGATTAAATACCAGTAACCCGTAGACTTTTCATCCCCAAAACAGATCTCCATTTAAGGGCCTAGAATCACAGTCTGTTCTCTCTTGGTTTCTTGTTACATAATCCTAAGACCTCCAGTTTCTTTTTCCCCCTCTCTCATATAAGCCTGGTTTAAAAGAAAATGCCAGATCAGAGCTTTGGTAAAATGCAAACTAGTTTACATTTATAGACATACTGCCTTGTCTTCTTGGCTCTGCAAAATCACACTTTCAGGATGGAAACAGTAATCTGCTTAGGGAAGAATTCCAGCAATTCGTCATTCCCAACCTTGCACATAGCAGCCAGCAAGGCAATTTATATACAGCAACTCCCTGTTCTTGTTTAATTTCCTCAGACAAAACAAGAGATTGTGCGGGTGCCTGCTGGTCCAAATGGTACAACTTGTTTCTTTTGCCTCTTATCATCACCTCCTGAATTACAGGCAGAGGCTGCTGGAGCCACAGGGACCCTTCGAGTCATCTGGTCCGAAGCCTAGTTTACAGATGAGAAACCAACTCAGACTGAGTATCTCATTCAGGGTCGTGCACATGTTAAGCGGCAGAAGTGAGGAGTCTTTGGTACTATTTTCTTTAACCCTAAGGGTTTCCTTTCTTTCCCCTTTACTGTCTTTCTTTTTAACAGTTACTCACTTTCCAGGGAGGAAACATTACCGATGGTGTGCATTAGTTATACGCCTGCTCTTGAAAAAGCACAAACTAGCAGACAACACAATCACCAGTCACTGATTCGTATAATAACCTGATTTTCAGAAGCTGGATTCTCATTTAAAGAGAGAAATCTAAAGCAGACAACATACTGAAGATCTATCAGGCTCTCCTCTATGTCTCCAAGCTATTCCAGGGCATACCTTTGCTGCTATGGACCAGGCTGGAGAGAGGTAATGCATGGACCATCCCAGGTAATGCATGGACCATTCTGCTTTGTAAAGCTGGGTTACTTGGGGCAAGGTGCTACCCCTTCTGAAACAGGGAGTCTCAGTGTCCTCATTAAATGATGTGGTAGGTGGCATCCACTCCGTACAGCTACCATATTACATGTGGAAGTGAAACCACAGAACACGGTGGAAATGAAGTGAATTAAGGGGGTGCATCAGGGGCGCGTGGCTGTGAAGTGCATAGCTGCAACGAATAGAGAACACATACGAGTGCTTGGGAATCATGTTGGTACTTCTGCCCAAAGACATGAAGCAGGTAATACAAACGTCTTTTTACTCCAAATGACTTTTTACTCCAGTGCGAGGAGGTGCTTCCCATGCGAATCTCTTTAAAAGGTTGGGTTGGAAAGACAGATTCTGTCTTGTGCAGTAAACCAGCAGTGGCAGGAGAGGTGATTCTGATAGGAACCACAGCTGCTGCTTCTGAGGAAGGCAGAAGTGTCTTGGAGTTGGGGGAAGAAGTGGTGGTCACGCAATTGATTGGTGGATTTTATAAAAGTCACTGTGGTACCTCGAGCACCTTCTTTGGGTCTTGAAATGTGCCTTGAAATGTGAAAAACGCAAAAGTAATGTGTAACCAGGTCCCCATTTGTGAGGGGTTTACCTTCTGATTGGTGGCAGACGATAGCAAGATGATCTGTGATTCATAACCCAGACTGTGTTGGAAGGAAAAATTGTGGGACCTCAGAGAGAAAGAGATGCATGCAGGGCAACAGGGAGTCTGTAGTCATTTGCCGAATTGAATGGTGAATGTGAGCTTTGGATTTTTATGAAGAAAATGATAAGCTGCTGCTCTGGGCAGAGATAAATTGTGGGTTGAACACAGAATTTAGAGAAGAATATAAGAATTTTAACTGGAGCTGAGGGTGGAATTTGGCAGGTAATGGGGGCAAAGGAGGATAATGAAGGCTAAGATAATTTTTGGAGCATTCAGGAGTCTAGGATTGAAGGAAATCTATTGATCCATAGTGTGTGGTGTGGAGGGGGTGAGGGTGGGGTGTGTTTCCACAGCCCCTGGTAGGTGTTTGTGTTTGGAGCCACCAGTGCAAGGTGCTGCCTTTGAGAGAGAGCTTCTGCTTCCCTTCGTGATGACTGAGAATGAGAGGTGGCATGGCCGTTGCATGATGCAATGTGACTGAGTGACCTCACTGCTTCCTGTTTCCATCAGAGAGCCGGGCTGGTGGAAGGAACCAGTTTAGTGGCAGACAGTAAATGGGGACCTGGGGGAGACAAGTGTGTAAGGTCTACACTTTCTATAGAAAACCAGCCATACCCTTAGAGGACCACACACTTGAGTCAAGTCTTAGTCAGACGAAGGAGGTGAACCTCAGTGGAATAGCAGCTGTGGCCTTGAGGCCCATGCAGAAGTCCAGGAATCAGGACCTGCCCCCTACATCTGAATCCTGTGCAGTCTCCCCCAGCCTGCTTCATCAGCCAGTCCTTGTTCTGAATTCACAGTCTGGTCTGAAAACTCAAAAGTAAATAAATCCCAACACAATTTGTCCAGGCTTCTTTGCCAAGACTACAGAAGAACACTATTTGGGTGATTCCTTTCAAAAAGTGGCCACATGGAAAAGGTGTGGCTGGAGGTGTGCTTCCTGCATTCATGGACAGATGATGATGTAAGGAAAAGCCTACCGTCAGGCCGCCGATACAGAACGCGTTGCAGGCTCAGGGAGGAGCAGTAAGTACTCACATGGGCCATGACACGGACACCTTTCTTCCCCTTTTAATGGTCTGTGTGGGATCCGGCACCTGGATCGAGTGTTCATCCTCATGGGCTCATCAGAGCCGCGAAAGTGGGCAACATTGGGAGTTCCTTGGATTGTTGAGTAAATGGCTAGGATGGAATTTCTAAGGTGGTTCTTTTTCCCTGAAAGGATGCAGATCTCTCAGCAAGAGAGTGGGGGCAAAAATGTTTTTAAAAAAATGCAGAATCACAGAACCCAAGAATGGACTAACAGTTACCAAAGGGAAAGGGACTGGGGAGGATGGATAGGAAGGGAGGGACAAGGGCGGGGAAAAAGAAAGGGGACATTACGACTAGCATGTATAGTGGGGGGGGGCACGGGGAGGGATGCGCAACACAGAAGACAAGTAGTGATTCTACAGCATCTTACTACGCTTAGGGACAGTGACTGTGAAGGGGTATGTGGGGGGGACTTGGTGACAGGGGGAGCCTAGTAAACATAATGTTCTTCATGTAATTGTAGATTAATGATAAAAAAGGTTTTATATAAGTCTAATTTACATACCATAAAATCCACCCATTTTAAGAATATAGTTCAGTGATTTTTGGTAAATGTACATAGTTGTGTAACCATCACCACAGTCCAGCGTTAAGATGTTTCCACCTCATGCCTCTTAGCTCAGCCACCGTCCCCACCCCCAGGAATCTGCTGTGCATTCTCTGGTAGATTTGCCTCTTCTGAACATTGCAAAGAAGTGGAAGCCCAAAACACGCTTTTTACTTATTTAGCACAGTGCTTTTTGAAGTTCATCCATGTCATAGCATGTGTTTGTATTTCATTCCTTTCTATTTATCCATTGTATGGATATACCATATTTTATTTATTCACTTAATCATCAGTTAATGAATTGTTTCCATGTTTTAGCTATTGTGAATAAAGCTGCTCTCTTCATTTCCTGTGGCTATTGTAACAAATTACCGTAAACTTAGTGGCTTAAAACAAGAGAAATTTATTCTCGTATTGTTCTGAAGACCAGAAATCCTGTGAAGATTCCCAACTTACTCAGATTTTTTGCTATGGTGATATTCACAGGTTCCACAAATTTGATATTGGACATCCTTTGGGGGACTCTGCCTACTACAACAGCTCTGAATATTTACTTTAAGTGCTTATGTAGACATGTTTTCCTTTCTCTTTGTAGATTATGGTGAGTAGAATTGCTGGATAGCATTGTAAATTTATGTTAAGCATTTTAAGAAACTCTTTATGAAGAGGCATCTTAAATTCCTACCAGCAGTGTATGAGGGTTCCTGTTTCTCCACATTCCTGCCTGTTGTCTGCCTTTGTAAAATTATAGCCATTCTTGTGGGTGTGAATTGGTAGCTCATTGTGGTTTTAATTTGTGATTTTCCCCGATGACTAATGATGTTAAACATCTTTTTATGTGTGTGTCCACCATCACCTAGGATTCTTGGCAAAATGTCTCTTCAGGGTGCTTACTCATCTTAAAATTGGGCTATCATCTTCTTTTTGTGTTAGACGGGTTCGTCTACATTTTTCATAATCTGGGCCAGTCATTGCCACTCCGAAGGACGGTGGCATTTGAGGTCACCTTGATGAGGAAGTGCTGGGGCAGCCAGTCCCCCGAGGAGCCTTGCACTAGGGGTGAGGCAGCCATGCTGCATGGCACCCTGTGTCAGGCGGTTACTGGAGGGTAGATGGGACACCGAGGTGTCGGGGAAGCCAGGATGGCTCACCCTGTGCCGGGGAGGTGGCGGTGCTGGTGGCTGCTGTGCGATGAGCCAGGAGACAGACCTACAGAGCGCCATGATGTATTCTTACTGTAGCCTGTGCTGCCGTTCGTATGACTTATCACAATTTCACTTAAGTAGTTGTTTCTATAGTAATATATTTAATATCTTTCTTCCTCTATGAGAGCATAGGAATTCCTGGGACAGGGGCCGCATCTGTGTGTTTTGTTACGCTGTCACAGGTCACAGTATGTGGTATGTAGTAGGCAACTACCTCATATTGTTCGGTGGAAGAATGACTGTAACATACCAGTAATGGGGGTCCAGAAAGATGTTCTCTGTTTTACAGTGGATGATTCACATGAACTCAGAGGGTTATTTGCTGAAGAAGTAATTCACTAGCCACTGATTGTGCTATTTAGGGACTTGTGTTTTCACTGCCACTGATGCCATTTACCCCTTTTTATTTCTTATTTCCAGCCATCTATAACTACAACGCCTCTCAAGATGTGGAGCTCTCCTTGCAGATTGGAGACACGGTTCACATCCTGGAGATGTATGAGGGTAAGTCTGGATGGCCTTCTGCCAGACGGGGGGAAAGGGAAAACAGTGGAAGTTACTTATTAATAAGGCACTTAGAGCAAACATCAACATGCTTTACTTCCTGAAGTAGTGCTAGTAAAACTCCAGGAAGTACTTAGGTTGTACCATTTTGTGCTGAGGGTGATTTCAAAACAGTCAGCCAAGTACATGAGTGCAAACATGCCCAGACACCAGAATCAAAGTATGAATACATTGAGCCCCAGCCACTGGGTGTGGAAGGATACAAGGCAGGGCTGGCTTGCGAGGAGACACGGGGGACGCTGGGCTGGCGGGAGCTCGAAGGAAGCACTGCTGATTAAGTGGCTCTTTCTATTCAGCCCTGAATGTTGCCAGATCGAGGGATAAATGAGGGAGAGATTTACTGGTGCCACTGAGATTCTTTCAGAGAACTAGGTCAGGACTGCAGCAGGTCCAGAAAGCCCACTAGCGTATTCCCTGCAGTAGGCGAGGCTAGGGACGTGGTTGCCATAGAGCAGCAGTCAGGACTCCCAGTTTGTCTTAAAAGCACAGATCATGTCTGTACCCATTCCACCCCATCCCAGGCTTCCAGCTCCAACTGAAGCACTCTACATCATAGCGGGCCTCCTGTGCATATCTGCAGTTCTAATCCAAACCCCCAGAGCACAGCAAACATGAATCCAGGCCTCTTAGTTGAGGATCAAAGCAAGGAGCAACTTTAGGGCCCACTTACTCCCTCTGGAGATCAGGGCAGGAATGAGGTGGGAAGCTAGGCAGATTTTTCTCATAGGGGGAGGCTTGCAGGAGCAGGAACTCTGGATTTGCAGGGTCCAGTCCCCATGTAAAGGCTTATGATGGTGGAATGTCAAAGGTGGTCATCTAGAACCCAGCGTGGCATCCCAGGACAGCACAGGAAGACACAGAATGGGGAGGAGGAGATGGGAAGCCAGGAGCAGAGGAAGCAGGGTTTGGCCACAGAAAAGCTGAGTCATCTGCCTGATTGCACAGAGGACTCTGCTCTTATAGCTCCTTCCCTTTAGTTTTAGGCAAAGGGCTTGGGTTTTGCTTCTTGTCTCCACAGAACGTGAAATATAATTATGGAACTCCCTTCGGGCAGGGGGAGGAGAAGGAGGGCTACGTGGGCTCCTCCCATTCTGTTCTCTCTTCTGTGTTCATCTGCAGTACCCCAGGTCCAGCCAAATGTTGATTCCATGAATCCCTAAGTCACTAGAGACAGCCTACTGTCATCTCAGGACACTTTTGCTTATTACAACCGTAGCCCTTCAAACCTTACTAGGTCATACCTCCTTGTTGGGGGCCAGAGCAATCCACTCTGTTTAGTTTCCAGAGACACACATTTTTCTGTTGTGTAGGTAAAAGGCTGTGTTCTGTTTTTGTGATTCTTCTATACAGGCTTGAAAAGAATGTATATTTTAGGGTTTAGGGGTGCAAAGTTCTATAAATAAGAATTAGATTCTGATTTCTCTGTCATTTCTTCCACATTTGCTGTATCCTAACTTCTGTCTGCGTTTTCTGTTACTGAGGGAACTCTGTTAAAATCTCCTGCCACTATTGCGGTTTGTCTGTGTCAATTTACAGGGATGTCGGTTTTTTGCTTTATATATTCTCAGGCCTGTTTTTAGGTGTGTACAATTTTAGAATCATTCTATCAAACAATTCCAACTTCTAATTCCTGTTTTTAAAACCTTTTATCATTTTCTTTGCCTTTTGCCTGAAATTCACAGCCCATTCATTGGTAGTCCCATGGCTCTAGCTTTTGTCCTCCTGGCCCCACGAGAGCATCAGAAATGCTGCTCAGCCCCTCAGGAACCTTCTCTTAATTCAGTAGATGCTCCAAGAGGAAAACAGCCCTAAATACTGGCCTCGTCTTTGAGTTTTTGTGTTTTTCAGATCTTGACTTGGTAATGCCTCACTTTACCAAGTTAGCTCTTCAGTGTGTGTGTGTGTGTGTGTGTGTGTGTGTGTGTGAGGGAAGGGGTGTGGGGTGAGTGGGGGGTGGGGTCAAGCTTTTCTAAATGTCCTGCAGAGTGTGGGAGAGAACAGTGCAGAGCTGATCTGAAATAAAGTAGATGATTTTTTTAACAGTGCAGTGATAAATACATCTTCAACATTCTTCCTTTCATTTTTACATGACCCCTAACATATTTTTCGAAATAGCTAATTGAAACACTTTGTCCTCATGGGACTCATATTGATGGTAATTTTATGCATGTGTATTATTTATACTTTATCGAGTAGTCTTCCAGTCTTCCAGCTACATTTCTAAAAGGGGGCGTTCCTACAGACCAAGCTAAGGTGGTCAATGAGCTTGGTTGAATATGAATGTAGCAGACACACAAACAGCTATTTCAAATACCTTCTCCTGCACAAGTCCCCAGGCCACCACTGTGCTCCACGTGTGTGCTTGCCTGAAGCCCTGGCATGGTGGATAGGCAATCCGAGGAAACTGTTACTGTATTAATGATGTGGCTTGAACGTGATGGTCCTGGTGCTGTAGGTCATGACAGCAGGAGGCTGATTTTCCTGTTAATTGCTACCACTAAATATTTGGTGTGCCGACCATAAAACTCTTTCATCTTAAGGAAGGGATGTTATCACTTGGTCTGTACAAGTAGACATGTGTCACGACGTGAATGGGCAGATTTAGAACATGAATTTCTGATTTCATTCACCACTAAGGGACATGTCAGCTTTATGGGGCTGATTATATTGGATACATTTTTATACAGCACTTATTTTATGGGATTGATTTTTTTAACAGTGCAGTGATAATTTCTTATATCTGCTAAGTACTCAGAGTTCTTGGCTGGGTTCTCAAATTCCTTTATTATTTCAGGCAGCTCAGGACTAAGCGAGGGCAGGAGTGCTTTGCAGACATTAAACATGATGGAAATGCTGAGTAACAATCTGGATTCTCTCCTTCCCCCATCTCCTCTTTCCTTTAAAAAAATAAACAAAATGGAAACACCCACAGTACTGACAGATGGAATTTAAGGGCAATATTGGCACTGCTTCATGGCCCGGGGTGGGTTGTGTCTGTCAGCTTCCTGTCAGATTCAACTCCTGGGGTTCCCCCCTACCTTGCTCTACCCTCAGCTCCACCCCACCTTGGAGATACTTGCATACCAGACCTGTGTGTGGACATGAGGCCACCTTTCTGGAGCCCAGACAAAAAAAATTCTTTTCTGCCCACAACCCACAGCAGAATAGCACTTAGGACTCTTCCTCTGCTGTTTCCTGCCCTGTGGCTGAATGAATGATAATGAAAGTGACAGCTCCCTCAAGGCCAGGCCTGCTTGTCATCTGCAGGGCAGTGGCGAGCATGGCCCCTGGCATGCAGCACATGTTCTGCAGAAGCGTTGAATGCGTGAAGGGAAAATAGGAGACCAAGGCAAACCTGCTGGAGCAAGGCAAGCTAGTGTGGAGAGTCAGGGAGGTGGGGCTGCTTCCCCAGAGCCCCCGATACCACGGGACAGAGCGGCCTTTCTTCTGCCACGGGGCAGATTCACGAGGCTCCAGCACTTCCCTGACCCCTACACCCTGCAGAGGGACTTGGGTACTGTATGAGCTTTTTTTTTTTTAATAACAGCTTTATTGAGATACATTTCAAATACTATACAGTTTACCCTCTTAAAGTCTGCCATTTAATGGTTATTTACAAAGTATACCATTCAGACTGGGGCGAATATCACCACTCTCTGCTTTGGGAACATTTTCATGATCCCAAAAAGAACCCCTGTACTCATTAGTGGTCATTGCCCTCGGCCCCAGGCAGCCACCAGCCTTATTTCTGTCTCTATGGAGTTGCCTGTTCTAGACATTTCATGTGAATATAATATGTGATCTTTTGTGACGGCTTCTTCTACTTAGCATAATGTTTACAAGGTTCAACCTTCTAGCATGTATCAGTACTTCATAGCTTTTGATTGCTGAATAATATTCATTGTATGCATGTATCACGTTTTATTTATCCATTCAGCAATCAGTGGACATGTGGGCTGTTCACAGGTTTCAGCTGTTACGAATAATGCTGCTATAAATGTTTGCATATAAATTTCTGTCTGAACACATACCTTCATTTACCCCGTGCATATTCCTAGTCGTGGAATGGCTGGGTCCTATGGTAACTGTTTTTAACCTTTTGGGGAACTGCCCGACTGAGTTTTGGCTCTAAAACAGGAGACCCATGGTCCAAATGCAAGAGTGTCTATCACTTACCATTTGCTTCTTTTTATCACCTTGCCTCTGAACTTCATTGATTACTCACAGTGAAGGAAGAGATCAGAACTGACTAAGAAGCTATATGCTGCTCATCCTTTATAGGCCCCCAAGCATCACTTGCCTTCAGGGACTTTTTCAGAAACAAAAATTCCCAAGGACGGAAGCATGTGTCCTTGGCCCCCCGTTGTTGGCACTGGCCTGCCTGCGGTTGCTGCCAGGGCTGCTGCTTCAGCCAGACCAGGGGTTTGGCCACGAGACAGCCGCCGCCCACCTTGAGCATTGTTTCCCAGCCCGGGTCCAGGAGAGCCCAGCGTGGACATTTCATTCAACAGTACTTGCTGAGCAAGTATTATGCTCTTATTTGTGCCAAGTACATTACGGAGCATAACAGATGTTCTACACACTGAGGTCACCAGAGTGACAGGACAGCAAAGTCCCTGTTCTTGGAGGGTTTGCATCCAACTGAACAAAGTAAGTAAACAAATTCAGACCCTCCAAGTGCTGTGGTGCTGGTGGCGACAGGAGGAGACCACCTCAGAGCAGGCAACTGTGTCCCTGTTCAGGCAGAGCGTTCCCGGGCAGACGCTTAAACTCTTTGCTTGCACGGTCATTTCGTCTAAAATTCGGTCACTGAATTGAAAATGATTAAATGAAAGTACTTTGGAAAATAAGACTTGAGCATCCCCGGCCACCATGAAGCTCCTCTCCTGAGATTAACCAAATTCCAGTCACAACTGGCTTTGTGCCCTGGCTCTGCTGTT